CAACAGCTGCTCTGTGGGAGGAAGATGAGGCCATCTACTTCCAAAAAGATTTACAGCCTTGGAAATCCAGTGGCTCACTGAGTCAGAATCAACTTGAGGGCAGTGGGTATGGGTTTTCAACTGGTTGGAAAGAGAGAGAGAGGAAGTGAGTAAGAGTGGGTGAAATGATGTAGGGCATAAAAATGAAAAAGGTATGTGCATGGAAAAGGGGAAAGAGGACATGTGTGTTTGCACAGTGGCTTAAGGGGAATGAGTCTCCCCCAAACAGAAGGGAACTACTCTAATGGTGGATGATTGGGAATTCGAAAGATTTGGTGGGGAAGGTAAGAGGAGTTCAAAGAAAAGTAGATAGAGGATGATCACATACTAAAGAAAATTTTTCTTCCCCAAAGTAACATTCCTTTTTTGTTCCAGTGCTGCTGATTTAATTTAGGCCTTCTTCATTTATGTATTCTCTTTTCTGGAAATTATAGAATCTTCTTAATTTATTTGCCACCACTCTCTATTCAAGTCCATTTGCTTACTCAGAAATTCATTTAAAAAACTTAACAACAACAAAAATATTCCTACCATGTGCCCGCTACTGCCCAATTTTGTCACCATGGGTTTTTGTTTTTGTTTTTAAAGTGTATCTGCTTGAAAAGCCACCAAAAGATGTCCTGCTGTACAAAGCACGACATACCTCTTAATTCCATATCTATTTAATTCTGTGTCTGGCATGCCCTTCCAAGTCTACTTCTCGGGTAGCCATTGCCTAGATACGCCTATTTTTCAAAGCCAGAGAGATATCTTTATGAATATTTTGTTAACCTCTTAGGAAAAATGAATTCCTCCCTCCATTATGCTCAATTAGAGCATTTAACACATTGTATAATAATTTTGAGAGTCTCTTCTGCTCAAAGAAAACCACAGACACATTTTATTATCTTCTGTACTCTTGGAACCTAGCACATTGTCTGGCACAGTAGGTGACTAATGTATTTGTAGAATCTTTGGTGAATAAATAAACAGATGGCACGTACCTCTATTAAAATATGTGAAACAAGATTAGTAAAGAAAATTAGCTCTCAAATTTTGGTTCTCTGAATAGCTCCCTTTAACACTAATAGAAAATGTGGCAACCATATATAATAAACGTAGCTCAATGCCAGTGGTTTATATAGCCTCCTTGTCCCTGTGTCTTCCCTTTCTCCTCCAAGAATCTTCTAAATCCTGGCTAAAGGCTGTTGTGGACTCCTTGCAGGAGAATTTTCTACTTTCTAATTCTCTTACAAGATTTCGTCCTGCCACCAGCAGCTGCCTGGAAGCTCTCTACCAGGAACCAGGAATTTCTGTCTTGCGGGTGTGGGGGGGGTGGTTGGTGGGGGTGGGGCAAAGTTTTGAATAGGAAGAGAAGAAATAGTGTGAAACCTGCAATTCCTTTTGCCAGGAATCCCAGCTGCTGAAAACCAACATTACTTGGGCATCCATCAGAATCACATTTGGAAGATGATTTAAATAAATAAATAAATAGGCAGGGGGCTCCTTCCAATCCTTAGCAAATGATACAGCTCTGGAAAATGGATGTGTCTTTACGCTTGGTCTGCATTTCCTCTCCACTCCTGTATTTCAAAAGCACAGCAACTAAGTTTGTTGCCAACAATATATCAAGTAAGGGAATCTTTCCATGGGGGGGGGGCGGGTGGAAAGACTTAATTTACAAAACAGAATTCTTTCCTCCTGCTCTCCTTTCACCAATTCTCCCATCTGCCTCCAAACCAACATACAGAAACTAAGCAGTTCGTAGCGATCCCCTCAGTAAAAAATTTCCTTTGGGAGGTAATTCAGTCTTGAGGCTCCAGTTGCCTCCCCATGCCCTGTCTCCTTCCCTTCCTTCTCGCCCTATACAACCTTCTCCAACTGCACCCTTTGCCTTTTCACATTGAACTAAAAAAAGAATTGCCCGCAATCTGGGAAAACTGATTAGCCTCAAATTCTGGAATTAAATCGTAAAGAGCGAGCTCAGAAGGGACATCGCAGCGAGCTTTAGTCTTGTAAAATCCTATTCCTGAATGTTCTCAATTTGGCGCGCCGGCCTCAGGAAGTGTCTGCGAGGCTTTATCATAAAAAGCCTGGTAGCCTCTCCCCTGTGGCAGCAGCTTCTAGAGCCTTGCCCTTTGCAACTTCCAATTTCCAAGCCCTTCCTCAATTAAGGGGATCTCCCACACACACACACACACTCTCTCTGTCTCTATCTCTATCTCTCCCCAACCCCGACCGCACCAAGTCTTGAGGAAGCCAACCCTCCCCACCTTCTCGGGTGCTTGCTCGGTTGAAGGCGGGAATAGCCAAGGTATTTTAAAGACGCCAGTCTTCACATCTTGCCTCATCAACCAAAGAGAGGGAAAACTGAAAATTTTAACAACGGTTAACTATTATTATCGCATCTGAAATACTTGTCCTGTAAAACCCTACTAAGTAAGTAAATTCACTGTGAATAGTGAACGTGTGAGCTGTAAAGAGTAGAAAATCTGGTGGCGACGTGAGAGAAGGGAAAGGACAAGGCGGGGGAAAGACCTCCAATCTGGGTTTAATCCCTGGGGTTCAAAACCAGACACGGCGGGGCAGGCAGTGGCTTTCCCCGCCCCCGGCGCCAACGCGCGCCTCTGGGGAGCTGGAAGGAGGGGCCAAGAGCGAGAGCGCGGGAAGGAGGCTGCGCAAGGGGTGCGCGCGGGGCAGGGCTGCTCGCGCTCCCGAACCGACCCGCCAAACGGCCTCCTCTTGGCCAGCCTTGCCTCGCTGAGACTGACATCATTGCCAGGAGGGGCTGTCCGAGCGAAAGAGATTGGAGTAGTGGGTTCTCGAGCCTCGCTGGTGGAGGCGCTCCCTTGCCACTTGGCAATTACAGCGTCGTATCTGTGGCGGCTGGTGGGCTGTGCGCGGCAATTCTTATTTAACAGAAAGAGAAAGGGGTTTTTAGACTTTAGCATTTCCATTTGCCAGTTCATTCCTCTAAACCGCCCGCACTGCACATCGGGCTTCCTCGGTTGGACCAGACAAAGGCAAGAAAATGGGAAACATGTACATATACTATGGTTTCGGCTTGCTTTCAAGCCTGTTTCCACGCACAGATACACATTGGAAAGGGCGGCCGTGGGCCCAAGACTTCCTGCCGTCACTGTGCGAGGTGGTTTCAAACAAGATTAAGAGTGGCATTCCATTTATTCTTTACCAAATTCCGAAGGTGCCTGCAAGTACCTTTCTTTTCTTTTCTTTTTTTTTTTTTTAAACCACACCAGTTTCACCTTGGAAGAGGAGGGTGCGCTTTAGTCAAAAAGTACCAGCACCTTTTTGACTGTTACGGTTGGTGTTCTCAATTCTGCTCCCCACGCTCCTCAGGTTGTTTCCTTGCTGCAGCGCTAAGAGCACACAAGCGGCTCCCCGGATCCCATCGCTTCTTCCCCTTATTTTCTGTCACTACCCCAGTCTCTCCTGATTTTCAAACATTTAATTCAACACACTTCCAGTCCTACACAAACAGCTAGGTTTAAATTCCATCTTGGAATGTTTTGTACATTTTTAATTATTATTTTGTCCTAGCCCCTTTTCTCTTCCGTCTGTGCTTTGTGGGTATGTGCCGCAGTGGCGCAAGTTTTGATTCCTAAGCCCAGAGCCAACATTTCGGAAGGGCACCCTTTTCTGAGACGCGAGGGCCCCGCCCGCAGGCGCGTGCGCGGGCGCGCGCACACACGCACTCCAGCGCCCTGCACCCCAAACCGCAAAGGCGGCCAATGCAACCAAGCACTGACTAAATCTTTCTGAAAAGAAAGGGGCTCTAAAAAAAAGGTGACCACCGTACTCCCCCACCCAAAAAAAGGGGGCGGTGGTCTAGACAATTTTCGAATATGCGCTAATATGCGAGTCGTGTCTCCAATTCAGGGCACAGCTCTTCCAAAGTCTCTAAATTACCCATCTGCGACTACTAGCTTCTAAAAAGTCACCTTTTCCGACGACACTCTTATTAAGAGGTATTTGTTTTCAGGAAAAGGAGCTGTTTCATGGCTACGCGTTTTTAAAAAAAAAAATTGTGGCTATATGAACTGGTTTTTGATTCTATCTTAGAAAACGTCATTTATTTATGGGATAGGTAGGCAATTTTTTTTTTTTTTTTTGCTAAGGGATTAAAAGTCATTTCCTTAGAGAAAGAGGCACCCCGTTTTCTTTCAGGTGCACTCTTAGAAAAAGGCTGCTGTTTTTTGGCTAAGGGGTTATAACGAGTTGTAGGGTTTATTTACTTATTATTATTTTTAATGATAAACAAATTTCCCACACCAAGCAGGTGCTGGCTGAGCACATCCCCAGAAATAGGGCGGGAAGGAGGAGCTGGGAGGCGACCACCCGGAAGAATGGCCCTGGGGCATTACACTCTCTGAAGCTTGCAGCGATCTCCTCCGCTGGGTGAAAAGGGTCGAACCTCAGAACGGAAGCATCGGCCCAGCAGGGCTCCAAACCCTGAACACCCCCTCCCCCCGAGAGAGGAGCGCCGGGCGCGCGAGGTCTAAGGCGGACGCTCGGCTCACAGCATTGCCCTCAGGTCCAACCTCTCCACCAGGTTAGCCAGTGAGTCTGGGACATGATCTTTTTTCAGCACCTGCCCTAATCTGAGAGTTTCTGTAAACCTCGCTGAAGATGGTTGTAGCCTTTAAAGTGAGACACCTTTTTGCATGGCCAATATTGGGAAATTCATGCGCACTTTTCTGACAAAAGTGAGTTTTCTCAAACTAACCAAGGCGTGCGGTAGCACCGCCAAAAAGATATTCTATCGGCGCGCACCTCCGTGGTTTGCGCTTTTTTTTACTTCTAGGTAGGTGGGGGTGTGGGGGTGGGAGAAGACACTAGAAGGGTCTGTAAAACTACCCCGTTGTCACAGTCAAGACCCCAACAGCAGAAAAGCTCCGCTAAGTGCAGGACCCACACTTGACACACTGCACTCCATTCTGGCACCCGGACCGGATACTTACCCAATGAACGAAGCCTCTTGAGTAGAATGAGGTGGTAAGCGTACGGGAGAAAAGGCTTCCGCCAGCTCCACGGCGACTGCGATTGCTGTAGCGGGCTCTTCCGCCACAGCTCGCAGTCCGCGGAGCAGTTGGAGTCGTGGAGGCTGCTTCTGAGGCTGTTCGAGCCGCCGGGGCTGCCTGGGCTGCCGGTGTCGCCGCTGCCACTCTTCGCACTCTTTTTCTTCCTTTTGCTTTGCCGCGCGGGCCGCTGTTTGCAGCTCGGGCTCAAAGCTCCTCCCGCCCTGACAGTTCACCGACTGCACAGAGCAGGGGCCGAGCCAGCCCTTTTCAATGGTGAGGGGGAGGGGCTACAAAGAGGGGGAGAAGGGGAAAGGAAGGGGGGTGAGCGAGTGGAGGGCGGGAGGGGAGAGAAGTGAACCAGTGCCTGGGCCGCCTGCTGGGAGGGGATGGCTCAGCACCAACTGCTGGGTACCCCCCTCTAGTCCCCACTCCCTGCACCCCACATCCCCTACCGTTCCGGGGGCAGCCCTCCCCGCTGACGGGGAACCAGGGGAGAAGGGCGGGGGCGAGATGGAGGTAAGCTTAGGAAGTTACTGCTCGCCGCCCCAAGAAGGCGGCACAATGCGTGCTGGCAGCACACTCGCGTGGGACCCGCTGCTGGGAAAACGCGCCGCTTTCCGGCTGTCCGCTTTTCCAGGCAAAAACGAGGGCGTGCATCTCTCCCTTCGATCTTGTGCTTGTTCTTCTGAAACCTTCATTTAAGTTTAACTCATTCACATTATCTTCCCGAAGTTTTATTTTTCTTATGTGTGCATTTCTCGAGATTTCGCTGGCTGCCCTGACTCTAGCTAGAGCAAAAGCATCCAGCAGCACCATTTTCTCATACAAAGGATACTTAAGACATACTAGTGTAAGTAGGGACAGGAGCCCGGCAAGGCCCTCAGTTGGAGCCCAGAGGCTGTGTCAGCATATATCACACTCAACAGTGAGCCAGGTTTGGTACCTCGGTGACCTCTCAGGTTAAACATCTGGGGGCCGGGGGGAGGAGTGAAGAGGAGATGTTGCGTTTTGGCTACCCAAGACAGCAAGTACGAGTGAGTGAGCTTAAGCAGGTCGGGGTGGCTTTGGTGGCGTCCAGCCCCGTCGCTGCCGGGGACCTGGCTGCATCGCGGGAGCTGGCAGCGCATTTCAAAGGTAGGAAAAGACGCCAGAGATGGAGGAACCCAGCTCAGACCCGCAAGGCTGGTGCTTGCCAGTGTGAACGAACTGTCTATTTGGCAATGACCCGGCGGGCATCAGGGTGCCGGGTCTCCAAAAACCACTCAGCCACTAAAGTGACCAGGAGTGATGTGGCTGCTTTATGGCTCGGATGGTTACAAGTATCAAGACGCAGGACTTAATTCCCCAGTCCCAGATGTGGGATTAAAAACAAACAGGAATGGGGAAAAAAAAAAAAAAGGCCTCCACAGCTGATCTTCTCTGATTCTCCCTCCAATGAGCAGGTCTTTAAATTTGCCCAGAGTCCGGAAAATGAGCCAGGAGAATTCTTTAAATTCCTCTCCAGAAAGGTGTGCGATTGTAAGAGGAAAATCTGCTTTCTATGTTTAACCAATAATTAAAAAAAAAAAAAAAATTCAGTGCTGTGCCTTCTTTTTAGAAGAAGAAAGAGGTTCTCTTTCCTGAAATAAAAGTAGTAAAAGTAGACAATGTTTTCTGGTGCCAAGAGCACATTATCGATTTTTATATTTTGTCTACTGAATGCCAGGGGAAGTGGTATCTGCATAGGAATAGAACAACTAGAAGGGAAAATGTAGTTTTACTACTATAAGTTGATTTTATCTAATGACTCTGTCGTGGAAAGTTTTTTTTTTTTTTCAAAGGGGCAAATCTTTATGACTTTTTTTTCCAGTATGCCTTTCATCTTCGAAAGTGCTTTATTCAATTTCTGATATTTTTAAGGTTAAATCTTTGATTAAAATAATCCTCACATTTTTTTTTCTTTTGCATTCTTTTACATAAAACCACACTATTTGGGGAATGATCAACACTGCAGTTCAATGAAGTCTGCATGAAATTAATGAAGTATTTGCACAGGTCTAGGTAGACACTTTACTATTGGCACTTCACCCTGCAACTCTGCCTCCATTATTCACAATGTCCAACACACACATTGTCCTATTCATGGGAGCTAGGAAATGTCTGGGAGATGAAAACAGAAGCTGTCAAATAGTTACAGCTCTGACTCTAGGGGTATGCACTATTGGATGAGACTCTATCATAAGAGATGGCAGGAACTCAATGAAAATAAAATCACTGATTGATCCAGGACAGTGTGGCAAAGCCATGCCATGGAGGAACTCTCAGAGCACAAATAATTATTTAAAATGTTTAAATGAGACATCTGTTAATTGATTTCCTACGATTTTCATCTAAGTAGGCTGATGTTTGATATTTAAAGTAATCACAAAAGTCATGAGGTCAATAATATTATTCATAATTCTTTAAATAGGAACTCATAAAGGACAGGTAATTTGTGCAGGCCATGTTGCTAAAGAGAGACAGACTCAAGATTTCCATTAATATAAGTTGATTTTATCTAATGGCACCATCATGAAAAGTTTGTTACTGAAGGGACAAATCTTTATGACTTCTTTTCCAGTATGTCTTTCTCTATCTTCAAAACAACCTTATTTCCAATTTCTGATCTTTTTAAGGTTAAAACATTGATTAAAATAATTCTCACATATATTTGGGGTGGTGTGTAACTCCTAAGTTCAGCTACGTGGTTTCTTTATAGTCAATCCAGATTCTTCTATAATACAGAGCACAGCTTTTAGTTTTAGTGTATAATCCAAAACAAAATGATTTCTTTAGCCTAGAAACATACTTAAAGACCAAGGAGACTCTAGTAATTGAAATAACCAAGAAAATCAAGTGAGAAATTCAGTTTATTGATAAGATGGACAGAAATCGACACCTGAAAAAATTCTTTTTTCCATTTTTCCTTCTCCTACGTTCTGTCTGATGGTGGCACCAATGAGCAATGAAATAACCAAAAATCAGGACACCTGGCAAAAGCTTTTGGTGCTCTAACTCTAAAAGGACTAATGAGTACTCTGTTATGCTTTCTTGAAGAGAGAGGATTCCCCTTTATTGAATGCCTTTTATGCAACATCTGCATTATACATATTGTTCTATTAATCTCTACAGCCATTCTGTGAGGTAGGTATTATTAGCCTAATTTTTCTTTTAACAAATGGGAGAGATTCAGAGAGACTAGTTAAAATGCCCAAGATTATATGGTTAGAAACTATACCCCAAAACCAAGCCCACTGCCATCGACTTGATTCCAACTCACAGAGACATTATAGGACACAGTAGAACTGTCCTACAGGGTTAACAAGGTTGTAAATCTTTACTGAAGCAAACTGCCTCATCTTTCTCCCATGTAGTGGCTGGTGGGCTTGAACCGCCAGCCTCTTGGTTAGCAGCCAAATCCTTTAACCACTATGCCACCAGAGTGCCTATGTTATAAATTATGGCTTTGGAAATTTGAGTTATGTCATTTTTAGTTCACTGTGCTGACTTTCAGCATCTGGTTTTCAGATTGTGCAGTTACCCATTTTCAGAATGTGTATTACATCAAATATTTTATAATTAATGGAAGTCCTCCAAAGTAAAAAAGGCATTGTAATAATTTGTTTTGGAGAGGAGTTGATATGAAAGAACTGTGATATGTATGGCATTGTATTTTTTTCCTTGTTGCAATTTGGAACTTGGAAACTGATAAGGGTAGAAAAGGGACTTCATAGAAAGGTAGAAATATGTCTACTCCATAACAGTTAAACTTTATAGGTGTATAACTAATATATAATGTTATAATATATAACTAATATATAACTGAGCAGAAAAGAGACTTAAAAGTCTTTAATGAATAAGGCCTGTAAGAATGATTGCATCTGAGAAATGTGTCATTCTGAAGAAGGGCTGATCAGCAATGGAGACTGAGTAAAAGGAGACTGAGAGGTGAATGTTGGCAGTGCCTGAACAAACTTTCATCTCACCAACAAAACCATTCTTGATATGAAATTGGTGGTGCCAATCACATATTCTGTTTTTTAATTGCCCTTGCATTTAAACCCTTCTTAGGTAACCTGCCCTCTGATTGTGATTTGCCTTTCCATTTAATCTCTCTGCAGAGACAGAATGTACAGGTCATGCAGATGGAAGAGACCACATACTTTTTATCTTGTGACAATTCTTTTGCATCAAATCTCATTCATCTTTTTGTTGTCCATATCAGCTTGCCCTGTACATTAAATATTAGTGTTATGATCAATAAATCATCACTGCTACTAGGAAAGTCAGTGAAGGAGTGGCCACAGATCTGTAACACTGGGTCCATTATGTTCCCCAGGCTATTTTTTCATGTTTAATATTAAACCATAAGCATTAATTGCAATTGGTAGGAGGCAGTGATGTACAATGTTTAAGACTAGGGCTTAAATCTTAAACTAAATTTCTAGTCCTGAGGGCAAATTAATCTTTAAACTGACACTGTTCAATATGATAGCCACCAGCCACGTGTTGAGCACTAGAAATCTGACCAATTCAAAATGAGATGTGCTGTAAGTATAAAATAAAATACCTGAGTTTGAAGACTTAGCACACATACACATACACAAACACACATACATGCACACACAAATAGTATATAAAAGATTCATTAATATTTTTATACCAATAACATTTTGAAATGATAATATTTTGGGTGATTATATAAATGAATATATTATTAAAATCAATTTCACCTGCTTATTTGTAATGTGGGAGCTCTAGTGGTATAGTGCCTAAAGCATTTGACTGCTAACCAGAAGGCTGGCAGTTCAAACCCACCAGCCACTCCTCGGAAGGCAGACTGGGCAATCTACTTCCTTAGAGATAGAAACCCAAGAGGGGTCACTATGAGTGGAATAGATTCAACAGTAGTGAGTTTGGTTTTTTTATTTGTAATGTGGTTGTTAGAAATTTAAAAATTACATATATGGCTCACATTGCATTTTTATTCCACAGCACTTTCCTAAAAACTTTAGTTATTCATCTATATAATAGGGATAATAACCTATTCACCTCAGAATATTGTGGTGACAATTAACTGAGATAATATACCTAACATACTTACCACAGTGCCTGGCATCAAGCTAAAAAGCTGTCGCTATACAAGAGTTGCAAATAAAGAGGTTAAGAAAAAATAAACAATAACCTAAAACCAGATGGGAGAGGGATTACTTAAAGAGAAGGCCTTAGTTAAGACTTAATTTTTCTTTATCCTCAAGTGAAATCATTCTACTTCCCTCTCTAAAAACAAGGAAAAGCATATATGCATGGTGGTGAGGATACGGGCAATACTGTGAGA